TATGCTTTATCTTTATTTCCATTTTTTTGTTTTTCATTTTGCGGCCCGCGACTTAATATATAATATCTAATATGGCCCTGGGTGGTTAACGAGTTTGACAAGCCTGTGTTACTACATGGAAAACGAAATTGGATGGAACGTGTCAGAAAGAAGAACAAGCTATTCTCTTTAGGGGAATAAAACGCATTTACGTTTCCGAGTCTGTTTGAACAAGACTAATCCTGTTTCCACGAAGGTAACAAGACTTCGCACTTCGTACGAGAGCGAAGTATGAAAAAGACATGAACACACTGTTGTAAAGTACAGACACTCTAACCCGTTTACCGCAAAGAGAACCAGAAATTGAAGCTCATCCCTGTACGGGAACGAGACAGTGGAATCGACAAAGGGTGCGATGGGGCGAGGTAAAGGGGTGGGTTCTGGCGATAGTTCGCCGGCAGAAGGCGCTGCTATCAGTGTCGCAGTATCCCCCGTTCTACCCGGCAGGTTGCACCGTCGCCACTCCGTCCACATCGTCCCCAAAGGAGAGCACATGTGAGCGGTGAATAAGACCGAAAGGGGGTCGAAAAACGCGCGTCCGACGACTGAACCACCGCATCGGCCTCCGTCGTTCCTCGGACGGAAGTCGTCACCGGTTTCGTCGAGCGCGTTCGATCAGAAACGGGTTTGCACGGGAACGGGAATTGGAAGGATCGCCCCCGAGTGGTGTTTAAATCATTCGCGATCGATGACACTCGAAAGAAGAGTGGTCGTCGGTGTCCGCGCGTCAACCGCGAAGCTGATAATCGAACGCGACGCGTAAGCCACTCTACGTCGACAGGACGCGGCGTCGGGCTCGGTCTGACCGATCGCTGGGTCGAGATCCACGATCGATTCGTTCCCGGATGAAATCACGAGGGACCACGCTGATCAGTGCGGTGAATCAACGTGGTGACGTGAACGTGCTTAAACATGTTCTGTTCCTGCTGTCATAATATTCCGCAGGAATGACACTCGAAAATCGTGTGTATTTCATTCCTCGAATTTTACTGATCATATCTTTCAATTGGCGCTGCATAATTTAATAGAAACATCGTCAGTTTTTTAAATTTATTGGAAATCTTTGAATGATCGTGTTCCATCTCGTACCCACGTGTTTCTTGCTTCGCGCATCGCAAAAGCGACTGAACGGTGAACGATAATGACGAAGCGTCACTTTACTACAACTTGAAAGTTTGCTCGCTTGC